GTACAAGTTTTGTGTGCACGTAAGTTTTCATTTCTTGGGAACATACCTATGCATGGTATTTATTGTTGGGTTGATTGGTTAAGTGTGTGTTTTCCTGTACGAGAAACTCACTGGCTCCCCAAGTGGCCGTGCCGTTTGCATTCTTGTCTGCAATGCACAAGTGTTCCGGGCGCTGCAAGCTCTCCCAGCATGTGGAGGTGTCAGTCTAGAAATTTCCATAGTTCCAATGAGACTGTGGTAGCATCTTGTTACTAATCATGTCGAACATTTTTTTTATGTGCTTATTTGCCAGCCAAGTATCTTCCTGTTTGAAGGGTTTTGCCTAATTTTTTGTTGCGTTATCTTCTTGTTATTGAGCGGTGAGAGTTGGTTTTTTTTTTTTTTTAGACAGTCTCACTGTGTTGCCTGGGCTAGAGTGCCATGGTGTCAGCCTAGCTCACAGCTCAAACTCCTGGGCTCAAGCGATCCTCCTGCCTCAGCCTCCCGAGTAGCTGGGACTACAGGCACGCGACACCATGCCTGGCTAATTTTTTCTATATATTTTTAGTTGGCCAATTAATTTCTTTTTACTTTTAGTAGAGACGGGGCCTCGCTCTTGCTCAGGCTGGTTTCGAACTCCTGACCTCGAGCGATCCTCCCGCCTCGGCCTCCCAGAGAGCTGGCATTACAGGCGTGACCCACCGCGCCCGGTCCTAATGTTTACCTTTAAGCCAACAGCACAGTGTCTTGACTGCTGTGGATTTGTAATAAGACTTGAAGTCAGGCAGCGTGTCTCCTGATTTTGTTCTTTCTCTTTATAATCGTGTGGGCTTTTCTAGGTCCTTCGTATTTCTTTATACATTTTAGAATCATCTTGTCAATTTCTAAAAAAGATTTTTATTTTTATTTAAGCCAGTTGTGGTTCTGACTGAAACTGCACCCACTCTGTCCCTCCATCTAGAGAGGACCGACATCCTGACACAGAGTCTTGGAGCCCACGAACAGGCCAGGACTCTCCATCCACTTGGGCCGTCCTGAGTCCCTCAGTGGGATTTTTCAGTTTTCTGTGAACAAGTCTCATGCAAATGTTGTTAAATTTACTCCTACCGTGTTTCCCCCAAAATAAGACCTACCTATAAAATAAGCCCCCTAGCAGGATTTCTAAGCATTTCCGCAATAGAAGCCCCACCCCGAAAATAAGCCCTAGTGATGGGCGTGGCTACGCAGCGCATCTGCACAACCCATGAATTTCGTCACTGAGTGGTCAAGAACACGAGCAGCCCTTCTCATCTGCCTATTGCTCTATTGCTCAACATGAGAGACTGGGGCCTGAGGGATGGTTCTAAAGGAAATAGAGTCGCAAGAAATTCAGGATGGAATTCGGGGTTTGGAGAGTGATGATGATGTTCCAGAAGAAGACGACTTAACTCTATTTGAATAAATGTAGATCGTTGAACCCTACTTAAATAAAACAACGCATCCCCTGAAAACAAGCCCTAGGGTGTCTTCTTGAGGAAAAATAAATATAAGACCCTGTCTTATTTTCGGGGAAACACGGTAGTTATTTCACGCTTTTTGATTCTATGTGTCCATGGTATTGTTCCTACAATTTCTATTTTCTAACCGTTCATCGTTAGTACACAGAAACGGAATTGACTTTGGCTTTGTATCTTGTGGTGTTGGCAAACTCGCTTGTTAGTTTAGTAGCGTCTTGTCGCTTAGGATTTACAGCAGACAAGAATGTCATGTTTAAATCAAGATCACTTAACATTTTCCCTTCTGGTTGGCGGAACTTTTGCTCCCGCCCCGTTACACTGGCTGCACCCTCCAGCACAAGGCTGGACGGAAGTGACAACCGGACAATCTCGCTTCATTCCTGCCCTAACTAAAAGCTTCTGGGCCGGGCGCGGTGGCTCACATCTGTCATCCCAGCACTCTGGGAGGCCAAGGCAGGTGGATCACTCAAGGTCAGGAGTTTGAAACCAGCCTGGGCAAGAGGGAGACCCCGTCTCTACTATAAATAGAAAGAAATGAGCTGGACAACTAAAAATATAGAGAAAAAATTAGCCAGGCACGGTGGCACGTGCCTGTGGTCCCAGCTACTCGGGAGGCTGAGGCAGGAGGATCGCTTGAGCCCAGGAGTTGGAGGTTGCTGTGAGCTAGGCTGACGCCACGGCACTCTAGCCCGGGAAACATAGTGAGAATCTGTCTCAAAAAAAAGAAAAAACTTCCGGTTCCCTTCCCCAGCTGGAGAGAGCTCCCCTCCCCTCCATTCCTGGTTTTACTTAGAGTATTTATCAGGGATGGGTGTTACATTTTGTCTACTGCTTTTTCCGAATCTATCCAAATAAGTGTGTGGTTTTTGTTTGATTTCGAAACGTTAAGCCAACCCAACTTTGAGTCTACCGAATAAGCCTCAGGGCATGAATTCTTTTCCTATGTTATGGGAACCCATTTGCTGATATTTTGTTAGGGCTTTTTGTGTCTCCGAGCACGAGAGACAGTGGACTTTCTCTCTCCTTGCCATGTCCTTGTCTGGATTCAGTACCAGGGTTGTGACGGTTTCACACACACAGTTGGGAAGTGGCCTCCCCTTGGTGTTCTGAAAGTGCTGGTGTCCTGTGGGTGTCTTTTCCCCCCTAAGTTCTTGGTAGAATCCACCAGCAAGGTCTCTGGGCCCCAGCAGGCCCCTTTTCTAACTGGGGGAACAGGTCTTCTTGTCCCTGTGTTGCTACTGACCAAGAGGGACGGAAAGCTTGGGAGCCCCCCACCCAGTACAGCCCTCGGGCAGCCCCACACCAGGCCTGGCCTCCCACAATGGGCTGCAAGAGGACGGGGCAGGGGAGATGTGTTGAGTTGGAGAATTCCGGCAGCAAACACTGGAGAGGTGGTTCAGCCAGGGAGCTGGCCCCAGGGCGAGGCTGGCAGTGACAATTTTCTTTTCTTTGAGACAGAGTCTCACTCTGTTGCCTGGGCTAGAGTGCCGCGGCATCAGCCTCGCTCACAGCAACCTCCAACTCCTGGGCTCAAGCGATCCTCCTGCCTCAGCCTCCTGAGCAGCTGGGACTACAGGCACACACCCCAGCGCCCAGCTAATTTTTTCTAGTCTTAGTTATTTGGCTAATTTCTTTCTATTTATAGTAGAGACGGGGTCTCGCTCTTGCTCAGGCTGGTCTCAAACTCCTGACCTTGAGTGATCCACCCACCTTGGCCTCCCGGAGTGTTAGGATTACAGGCGTGAGCCACTGCGCCCGGCCCCAAATGTTCTTTAAAGTCAGATAGAAATGACCACTGGCCCCACTCACGCCAGCTGGAGCCTCGGGGCCGACCCTCTGCGGGTGCCTGCCTCCTGCCACCAGCCCCCCCCCCACCGCAGGCCCTGGCTGGCACTGCCTGTCCTCTGAGGGCCTAGAACTGAGCAAGGCAAGGACATGCCAGGGCAGTGCGGGGGACAGTTGCTTGAGGGCTGGCCCCCTCCCTGGCTGGAAGAGCACCCACAGTTCCAAGTTCACAGCCTCTTCCCAGGGTACGGCAGGGCCAGGGGTGAGGCTGGCCCTGGACAGTGGGAGCACCCTGCAGAGAGCCCACAGGTGGCACTTGAACACCCAGGAACTTGCCGTGGACCGGACACCACACTGGCGAACAGAACTCCCTGTGGCCACGTGGGTCAGGACTCCCAGTCTGCAGGGTTCTGCCCAGCCCTCCCTATCCCCTCCCTCCACCTCCTGCGGCATCCGCTTAAGGAAACATGAGTGTTCCCTGAAAACAAGAGGGTCCCTGCGTGTCTGGCTGCCTGTGTGACCAGCCTGATGTCTTTAGACCTTCCAGATGCTTTTCCGGACCTTGGGTGCCGGGTGCACACCCAGCCAACTGTGCAAACTCAGGGACAAGGGTCTGCAGCAAGGGCCTGGGGGAGTGCGCAGTGGCTGCTGGGTGACCCTGTGTGAATTCCTTGACCTCTCTGTGCAGGTCACCCTTGCACACCCAGGAAATGCCTCCCTCTCTCCTGTGGCAACGGCGCGGAGGCGGAGGACCGCGTCCGGGGCACAGCCTTGGGAGCCGCAAGGTCACGGCTCGGACACGGTCCCCGTGCAGCATCCACACCCTGCGTGCGGCACCCCGCGCCCCCACCCTGCGTGCAGCTCGCCCTCCAGCGCGGGCACCCCCGCACCTTCACCCTGTCTGCGGCACCCCCACACCTCCACCCTGCCTGCAACTCTCCCTCCTGCACAGGCACCCCCGCTCCCCCACGCTGCATGCAGCACCTCCACCCTGGGTGCAGCACCCCCGCACCCCCGCACCCCCCCACCCTGCGTGCGGCTGCCCTGCACGCAGCACTTCCACCCTGCGTGCGGCTCCCCTGCACCCCCACCCTGCGTGCAGCACCCCCTCACCCTGTGCGCAGCACCCCCACCCTGCGTGCAGCTCCCCTGCACCCCCACCCTGCGTGCAGCACCCCCACCCTGCGTGCGGTTCCCCCACCCTGCGAGCGCGGGAAACTCCTCCTGAAACCGGGGTCGCGGCCTGCAGGGGAAACCCGGGCGGCAGCCGCTGCACCCCTCCCCACGCGCCCCTGGGTCGGACCGCCTCGAGGGCGGCGCGCGGGCGGACGGGGCGGCGGCGGCCGGGCGGCGGCGGGGGAGGTGCCGGGCCGCGCCGCCGCTCCGAGCGCGTTTCCGCGCAGCCCACGCGGCGGGGCGGCGCACGCGGGCCGCGCTGATTGGCCGCGCCGCTGATTGGCCCTGCGGGCACACTTGGCGCCGCCGCTGCGGCCGGCTGCGCTCGCTCGGGCTCGGGCGGCTCGGCTCGCTCGGCTCGGCTCGGCGGCGCGGCTCGGCCGCGGCTCCGGCTCGGCTCGGCTCGGCTGCCGGCCGCGGACGGTGTGCGCGGGGGGCGCGGGCGCGGGGCGCGGGCCTCGCGGCGCGCGGGAAGCCTGGTGCCCGCCCGCCGGTGCTCTCGACGAGGCGCAGGCGTCGCCGCGGCCCGGCTCGGACGGCCGCCAGGACGGGCGCGGGCGGGGCGCGGGCGCGGGTCGGCGCTCGGCGACGCGGCGGACGGCGGGCCGGCCCCTCCCTGCCCGCGCCGGGCGCCACTGGCCCGCGCCGCCGGGAGCGATGACATCGACGGGGAAGGACGGCGGGGCGCAGCACGCGCAGTATGTGGGGCCCTACCGGCTGGAGAAGACGCTGGGCAAGGGACAGACAGGTGCGTGGCGGGGGCGGCGGGGCCGGAGCGGGCCGGCCTGGCGGGAGGGGGCGCGGGCGCGGGCCGAGGAGGCCGGCCGGGCCACGGCGGCGCGAACAATGGCGGCGTGCCGCCCGCCGTGCGCCCCGCCGAGTCCGCAGGCCGCGGGCTGCGGTCGGCCGGGCGCGGCCCAAGGACACGCGGCGCGGCCGGGCCACGGGCGGACGGGGGCGCACGGGCCCGGCCTGGGCAGCGCCCCTCGGGCCCGCTGCAGGTGCGCGACCCGGGCCGCATTGTGCGCCCGCCAGAGCGAAGGGCCCATTGTGCCGCGGAGGAGGGGGCCGAGCGGGCGCCCATCTGCCGTCTGCCGCGGCCGCGCTAATAGGCGTGCTGCCCGAGCAGCTGCGCCCCCGGCCGAGACCCCCACCTCTGCGCGGCGGCCGCCGGGCCTCCCTGGCCAGGCCTGGGCCTCCCTCGCGGTGGGGGTGGGAGCGTGCGGGACCGTCAGAGGGCTGGACAGCGCCTTGCTCTCCTCCCAGGCTCAGCAGACTGTGACGCTGCACCACCCCAGGGGAGGGAGAGGCTGACCGATGCTGAGACCAGAGTGTGCACCGGGGCCTGGGCCAGGGACAAAACCTGGACCCGCCGGGAGGAGGGGTCTTCCCCGCAGATCCTGGCCGTCTTTCCAGGGGACAGGCTAGGTCCCTGCAGGGCCCAGCCCAGGCCGGCAGTGACCACAGCTCCCCTTGCATTTGGCCAACTTTCCCCGGCCTGGCTGGGCTGGCCTGGCCAGCCCCCTCATCTGGCCAGCCAGGCGCGTTCACAGAGTCGTCTTTGTCGCGGCTGGGGCTCAGCCATTTTCTTTCTTCTCCCAGGGCCAGCCAGTCTTGGTGTCCCAGAGGTCCGACTGGCACTGTCCGCCTCTCCCTTCCTGTCTGAGAAGTTCCTTAGACCCCAGGGCGGGCAGGGCAGTGGCGGAAAGGAGGAGGCTGGGATGGTGTGAGCTGGCGCAGGGCGGGGGCTCAGGAGGCCCTCTGCGAGCCCCCCAGGGCTGCAGTGAGGCGGAGCTGGGAGCTGGTGTTGGGGATGGAAAGTGGGGCAGGGCCGGGCTCTCGGGGGAGGGCAGCCCCGTGATGTGACTAAGGCAGAAGCAGGAAGGCATCTCTGCTGGGGCCGCTGGGGCCGGAGGAGCTGCCTTGCTGGGCAGACCGCCCCCTCCCACCTGCCCTGGCCCTGGCAGGACCCCGGCCACGGCACCGGGCCGTGGGCAGTGGGGGTGGTGTGGCCCAGGTTCGAAGAAGAGGAGGTGGCAGACGGCCGGTGTTGAGCTGAGCTCAAAATACGCCCGGCTGCTGGTAGGAATGACTGCAGTTTGTGGACTCGCTGGTGAAGGTGGGGGCCAGGACAGGAGAATGCAGGAGGCAGTGAAATAATCTAATTATTGTACCAATAAAATGTTATTATAAGGAAACATCAGCGTGTAAGCGATGACAACAGTGAATTATGTGCAGTGGCACGCGGTCTCAGTGGGTAGGGGCTGGTCTCCCCGCTCTTCATTGAGCTAGGCTGCCGGTACAGTTAATTACTGGGGGTTTCCGCTGTAATTAGCATAATGAATACAAAAGGATGCGCCCCGTGCGTGTGTGTCGAGGAGCTCCAGTGTGGGGTTTGGAAAACAGCTCTGAGTGGAGTGCAGCCCGCCTCCCTCCTGGGGCGCTCGGGAAGCCATCCCCTCCCTGGTCCCAGGACGAGGCCGGCCATTGCTGTGCGTCTTCCCGTCCCTGCTGAGGGAGGGTCCTCCGGAGTTTGGTGGACACGGGGTCCCACGTGTGCGCCGGCCGCACCTGGAGAGGCGCCGGGTCTCTCAAGCCAGAGAGGGAGAGAGGCTCCTGCAGGGGACCTCAGTGGGGAACACACGGATGGGCTCCCACCCACCGCTGGGACGTGGGCCCTGGCGTGGCCACCCGTCGTGGACCTCAGCTCCAGCCGGCTCTTGTCCACGGCTGGCGGCTTGTTCGTTTCAGCCCTGCCGTTCTTCCCCTCTCCCTCTGCCGGAGTCCTTTGCCGTGGGGGCTGCTCCCCCTGAGACGGCTGCGGAGAGGGAGGCGGTCTCATGGCCAGGAACCTCGTGGTGTGGCGGGAGCCTTTCCACCCGCCCGGCTGACCCAGGTGTGCTGTGGATCTGCTCCAAAATGGTGGCTGTGGGGACTTGGGCCAGGCGGGGAGAGGTGGCACCTGGCCTCCCCGCCGGGCTGGCGTAGCCATGGCGTGTGGTCGTCTCGATTCTGCTCAGGTGTGTTCTCTGCACAGCTACGCTCGGATGGCCCGAGTGCCCCAGCCCGGGTACCCACCAGGCCAAGTGCACGGCAGCTCCAGAAGCTTGCTTCCCAATGGCGTCGGTGGTTTCTGGCCAAGGCTGTTGGCGGGGGGTGGGGGGTGGTTGGGGGCCTAGCGGGGGCAGGTGGTGCTAGGTGGGCGGGAATCCACCTGCAGAGATGCCCACTGGGCTGCCCCATGACCCGAGAGATGCTTGTTGAGCCCCCCGCCCTGGGCTGGGCAGATGTGGGCACAGTCCCTGCCCTCGAGGGACTCGGGCGGGGTGGGGGCCGGAGGGTGAGGATGTGCAGGGGCCACGTCCAGTCCAAGCCCCTGCAGCGCCAGGAGGGACTGTCACATAGCCATGTGGCCTTCATCCCTCCCGCCCCTTGGTAAACGGAGCAGGGCACCTTCCTGCCAAACCAGAGCACAGCCCGGAGGACCCTGTGGGAGGTGGGGGGCGCAGGCCCTCTGAGCTGAGCCAGGCTCCCAGAAAGACGTAGGCATGCCCCCCGGGAGCCCTGCGCCCAGGGGCGGGAGAAGGGAGGTGGCCGGGGCAGGGCTCCCAGGCTGGTGGGTGGGCTGGGGGAGGGCTCTGGGCTCCCTAGGACTGGGGACACCTCACCACAGTCCCATGTGCCTTCAGGAGGGTTGACCTGGGACCCTGGTGGCAGGAAGGATGGGGGCAGGGGAGGGGGCAGATGAGAGGGAGGGAAGGGCAAGGCAGGGGCAGGGGCCAGGCGGGAAGGGTGGGGACTCTGGTGTAGACCCTGGCGTGGCTCAGGACTTGGGAGGTGAAGGCAGAGGTGGGGGATGGCAGGGGTGAGGTGAGGGGGCAGAGGGCCTGCTAAAGGCCCTGGTGCCAGCGAGGTGGCCTGCTTGGGGCTGGGGCCCAGAGGCCGTGGCTGGGCAGATGGGACCCAGTGGCCTCTGCAGTGGTGGAGGTGGCTGGGTGCAGCTGTGGGTGGCCTGTCATGTCACAGGCAGGCCAGGGTCCCCATGAAGTCATCGGGAGGCCCCTGCGGCATCCCTGGGTGCCTCAGGATGCCACCCCAGCCCCCCCCTTCCGGGCTGGGAACTGGCCTGGGGGGGGGACTGTCCCTGTCACAGCTGCTGGCACAGGGGCTCCCAGACAGTGGGGGAGGCGCACCTTGCAGGACAGGCGGTCCCCTAGGTGGGGGTGAAGGAGCCGCCGTGGGCCCCCAAGCACCTCAGGGCAAGTCTGGGTGTTGTCCCTGTCAACACGGGTCTCTGCCTGCTGCTGGCAGGGGCGAGGGGCTTGGCCAGGCTAGGGGCCGTCCGTGTCAGGACAGGCGCCCTGAGTGGTGGGCACGGTGGCCCTGCCCGCACTGGCCGGGCGTGGGCTCTGGCCGGGCCCCTCCGTGTTGTGGGTTCCTCCACGTGGCAGCTCAAGGCCGGGCTGCCTCTCGCACCCCTGGCCCTGTGCAGGCTGAGCCAGGGAGGCCCTTCCCGTGTCACCGGTGGCTCCGTCTCTGCCCTGCCGTCACCCACGTGGGGAGTCCTGTCCAGAACCGCGGGGAACGCAGCACTCTGGGCAGCCCCCAGCTGTGCGAGGAGGCGGGGCCCGGCTGCCCCTGCGGTGGGAGGCTGGGGCCGGGCCCCCCAGGCCTCTGTTCCCAGCAGAGCCTCTCCAGGCTCCGGCTAGGGCCATCCCACTGCGGATTGTGCCTCCAACCTGGGGCTGGGGCTCCAGGTCCTGCCCCATCCCTGGCTGCCCAAGGTGGCCAGGGGTTCTGGTCCTCGCTCTGGTGGGCGTGTGGGGGCCCCCACATTCCTCATCTCCCGGCCACTCTCGCCCACCAGCCACCTGGGGGACTGTGTGGGGTCAGGAGAGCTGAACTCCGGGGCTGCCCGGGCCAACTCCTGGACGTGGGCCGGAGCAAGCGTGCACCCCGCCCCGATCCCTGGCAATTTCCCTGGTTTTCACGTCTGGGGGTGTCTGGGGGTGACCCCGGGGTGCGGGGATGAGCCTGGCGGCCAGCGGGCAGGTCAGACGCTGGGACAGCCTGAGTCGGCCCTGCCACCCCACCATCCCTTTGTGGGAAGTCTGTGGCTGGCTCGGTAAGAAGACGCCTGCTCTGCCATCTGGGGGCCCTGTCCGGAGCGCACCTGTGCCCCTGGGCCTCTCTGGGCACAGATAGGCTGCTTTGGGTACCTGGGAGGGTCCGGCCGCCTCTGAAGCCGGCACCTGGCGAGGAGGCAGGCAGGCCACTGTGAGCACTGGCCGCCAGCGCCCACCTGCGTGGGGCTGTGCTGGCCCTGAGGACCCCGTGGCACGTTGGAGCTCGGCGGTGCAGACCTGTGCCCGCGGTCCCGAGGCTGTGGACAGCCCACCTGGGCGTTGGCAACTTGGCAGCTGAGGGACTTGGAGCCTCAGGCTCCTCGTCTGCAGAATGGGCCTCCCTAGAGGCCCCAGCGCCTAGAAACGTGTGAAGCGGGGAGACGGCAAACCAGCTCGTGTTGGGGCATCAGCATTGCATGGGAGGGGACCCTCTGGCCTCCTGCGGGTCTGGGTGGTCTTCCGTGCTGCCCTGTACCCTGCAGGAGGTCTCGGCGCTCTGACCAGCCCTCCTCGGCGCCAGGGCCGCTGCCACTGGGCGGACGGCTGGCGCCAGGTCGAGGCAGTGGGGGGTGGGCCTGGTGGCTGAGCTGCCCTTGGGCCTCCCCTCGGCCTCGCCCAGGGA